TCAGTCACTACACTTCAGCATATACCTGAGAAATACCAACCACAATATGAAACAATCGTAGGCCGTTGGATTTGGAATGTCAAAGTTCTTTTTTGAATGGCAATATCCAAGAAAATTACACTAAATATACCCATTAAATCATAGAACAACTAAATCAACAAAGAAAACCCTTTTGAATGAGTTTATTTTCAAAAGCTGTTCAAATATATGTACATCATTTATAATCATCGCTTGTATGCTTGTTTTTGACGAGATGTAATGATAGTGAGTTGTGTTCAGAAGTTGATGCATGGTTTTGTCAGTAGGGCGAAAATTCAGAATCACTCTCGTTTGCACCTCATAAAACTATATATCGATGTGAGAAGTAGTATCACACAAACATTTATCGAAAATGACAACCAAAATTGGAGAGCGTTGCTGAAACCTCACTGAGTAACACACACACCTCCATTAGTCATTGTGACATGTGAATTCCCTCGAACTTTGTTTAAGCAGCCCATAACCTATATGAAAGTTTGGAAATATTCAGCTTCCTACATGCATACTGCTAAGCTGGAGAAACCTCTGCTTTTAGGACGGCGACTTTGCTGGCAACTAATTAGCTTCGTATCGCCTATCCATACATTTTTAATCAGTCTTTCACGAAATTTGACAGTTCACAAAAATCATAGAATTATTGTCCGGTACTGATACAAATTATGAAGTGATTGGGTTACAGTTTCATATCTCAGTATTATGCAATACGTATAGTGAGAATCCCTATACCACTTGTAACTTCCACAAGTGGGCAGTGATCGAGAGCGAAAAGCTAGGCATTTCGCAACCTGCAATAAATTTCTTGATAATCATTTCCAACTTTTTACTCAATACTTCCTACTTCTGCTTTTTGATTACACTTAACATTACCTAAGAAACTGATATGTGAAATGATAATCTTATCTGATAATTTGCATGGAAAAGTAGCTGCTACAAGCAATGAGAAAACTACATTCAGTCTGTATTATGTAAGTGAATATGATTTTCCCACGTCAGCAGTACTCACTCCATCCCTTATACCTGGAAACTTTCCAACTAGTGATTACCGTCTTTGGACCTCAGTACCAACACAGTTTACTACGCCGAACTTCAGACTAATGGTTCAAAACTCATCTTTGTGGTCACTCAGAAACGTAAGGCGTCTTGTAGTCTGTTAGAGACAGAATTACAACCAGTGTTACTTACATTTTGGCGCCTGTATAAACTCTTGGTCAACCGGATTTTTTCTTCCGATATGTTTCGTCGAGTTTACTCTGGTTAGCTTCATTGTAATTGCTCAACCATACACTTGGATCGTATCAAATACTCGCGTGAATTTTTAAAACTTATCAACTTAACGAACTTAACAAATATAATGAATAAAAATCATCACTGTGTGTGACATTGCGTTCCAAAGCACACAGAGCTACAACAGACGACTCCCTGAAATACTCAGCTGGAACTGGAGATCTCCATGGGACGAGGTGAACTACTAACAATGTCAGTCAACAAATTCCTAGGGATAAAAGTCTGTTATGCCAACCGCTTCAGAAAACGTCGGGCTTAGTAACACTTTCCCCACATGTCATTGAAAGTATGCTACATTTGGCCCTGTATGTGGACAAACAAGCTTGGCAGAACTCATATTCAGTCATGGATTGCAAACTGGCTCCATTCTTATTATTCTTAAAGAAAGCAGCACACTTTATACAGAGGGAAGCGCCTTACTTTGCTACTTACTGAAGCTGGTGAGCCTCAAGGTGCTGTTTTACCTGATTTTCCTTTGTATTACTCACCTAAAACTAGTTTTTTCAAGTATCTGGACCACCTAGTAGTAACTATGCCGGTCATTTCTGATCCCAACTGTTCTCGGTTTAGTAACTTATTAACCGAAATTGGTCACTAATCTCACTTAAATGGCCGCACTCTGAACCCCCACTCCCTAAGAGATATTAAATGGTTATATAGATACACGCTGTTCATACATACTTGCATTCATTCATTACCAACCCTTTACCTATGTTTTCATTTAACGTCTGCGGCTCCTTGGTTAATGTTCAAATCAGTGACTTTCAAACTGCTCAACTTCTAAAAAACCTCTTAATTTGCGCACTGGGAGCTTATTCTCTTGTGCTCCTTCAACTGTAATTTAGTATAATAGTTGAGGACAGCATAGAAGGGATTAATTAGTCAGTCACTACACTTCAGCATATACCTGAGAAATACCAACCACAATATGAAACAATCGTAGGCCGTTGGATTTGGAATGTCAAAGTTCTTTTTTGAATGGCAATATCCAAGAAAATTACACTAAATATACCCATTAAATCATAGAACAACTAAATCAACAAAGAAAACCCTTTTGAATGAGTTTATTTTCAAAAGCTGTTCAAATATATGTACATCATTTATAATCATCGCTTGTATGCTTGTTTTTGACGAGATGTAATGATAGTGAGTTGTGTTCAGAAGTTGATGCATGGTTTTGTCAGTAGGGCGAAAATTCAGAATCACTCTCGTTTGCACCTCATAAAACTATATATCGATGTGAGAAGTAGTATCACACAAACATTTATCGAAAATGACAACCAAAATTGGAGAGCGTTGCTGAAACCTCACTGAGTAACACACACACCTCCATTAGTCATTGTGACATGTGAATTCCCTCGAACTTTGTTTAAGCAGCCCATAACCTATATGAAAGTTTGGAAATATTCAGCTTCCTACATGCATACTGCTAAGCTGGAGAAACCTCTACTTTTAGGACGGCGACTTTGCTGGCAACTAATTAGCTTCGTATCGCCTATCCATACATTTTTAATCAGTCTTTCACGAAATTTGACAGTTCACAAAAATCATAGAATTATTGTCCGGTACTGATACAAATTATGAAGTGATTGGGTTACAGTTTCATATCTCAGTATTATGCAATACGTATAGTGAGAATCCCTATACCACTTGTAACTTCCACAAGTGGGCAGTGATCGAGAGCGAAAAGCTAGGCATTTCGCAACCTGCAATAAATTTCTTGATAATCATTTCCAACTTTTTACTCAATACTTCCTACTTCTGCTTTTTGATTACACTTAACATTACCTAAGAAACTGATATGTGAAATGATAATCTTATCTGATAATTTGCATGGAAAAGTAGCTGCTACAAGCAATGAGAAAACTACATTCAGTCTGTATTATGTAAGTGAATATGATTTTCCCACGTCAGCAGTACTCACTCCATCCCTTATACCTGGAAACTTTCCAACTAGTGATTACCGTCTTTGGACCTCAGTACCAACACAGTTTACTACGCCGAACTTCAGACTAATGGTTCAAAACTCATCTTTGTGGTCACTCAGAAACGTAAGGCGTCTTGTAGTCTGTTAGAGACAGAATTACAACCAGTGTTACTTACATTTTGGCGCCTGTATAAACTCTTGGTCAACCGGATTTTTTCTTCCGATATGTTTCGTCGAGTTTACTCTGGTTAGCTTCATTGTAATTGCTCAACCATACACTTGGATCGTATCAAATACTCGCGTGAATTTTTAAAACTTATCAACTTAACGAACTTAACAAATATAATGAATAAAAATCATCACTGTGTGTGACATTGCGTTCCAAAGCACACAGAGCTACAACAGACGACTCCCTGAAATACTCAGCTGGAACTGGAGATCTCCATGGGACGAGGTGAACTACTAACAATGTCAGTCAACAAATTCCTAGGGATAAAAGTCTGTTATGCCAACCGCTTCAGAAAACGTCGGGCTTAGTAACACTTTCCCCACATGTCATTGAAAGTATGCTACATTTGGCCCTGTATGTGGACAAACAAGCTTGGCAGAACTCATATTCAGTCATGGATTGCAAACTGGCTCCATTCTTATTATTCTTAAAGAAAGCAGCACACTTTATACAGAGGGAAGCGCCTTACTTTGCTACTTACTGAAGCTGGTGAGCCTCAAGGTGCTGTTTTACCTGATTTTCCTTTGTATTACTCACCTAAAACTAGTTTTTTCAAGTATCTGGACCACCTAGTAGTAACTATGCCGGTCATTTCTGATCCCAACTGTTCTCGGTTTAGTAACTTATTAACCGAAATTGGTCACTAATCTCACTTAAATGGCCGCACTCTGAACCCCCACTCCCTAAGAGATATTAAATGGTTATATAGATACACGCTGTTCATACATACTTGCATTCATTCATTACCAACCCTTTACCTATGTTTTCATTTAACGTCTGCGGCTCCTTGGTTAATGTTCATATTTGCCTACTGTAGTAATAGTTTTGATGATTACTAGCCGTAATAGTTTCATAGCTCAATAATCCAATCTGGTAGTTACGAGCTATCGCATTCTAATGTATTATTACTGAACGCACACCTAGTTATTTATGTTACAAGTGCTTTGTTCGAAATTTTCGCGGAACATTTAAATATCTAATCTCATATTTCCCTGTTCTGGTAGGGGGATTATGTACACCTCATGTAACTTTATTCCAATTTCTTGATCTACCATATGTGCCAATATCACAATATTGAATTTAATGTTGCTTATGTACACTGGACAGCAAACAAGTGAACGAATTACATCTTTTTGAATCGTGTGACGTTTGTCTTTTGGTTTACCTGCCGTTGGCGCGTGTTGATCGGGATAAGACCTATAACATCCTGGTCAAATCGAGGTGATATCTTGAGTTATCCGATTCGTGTTGGGACCCACTTGTAACTAACACCGTTGCGCACACACACTACAATAAGGTGACTAGGAGTTGGACTTAGAAAGCACATCTCTTAATGTTCACATTCACTACTCTGACATTCCCGCCTCATAATGTGTCCATGTTATTGTTGAGATCTGAACGCCACATACTTCACGGATGAACGAGAAAACTGAACGAAACGCCTATCTAAAAACCCAACACTGGTTCATCAACCAACATATCACTCTCAATATCACGCTATAAACAATTAGTCTGAATACCATAAAATGTTGATTTATTTTGCTCTGTAAACTTCTGGGAAATAATAGCAACTTACATCTCCATATGAAAAATTCGGTTGCGTCGTCTCAAACGTGCTGCTATAGGCTCGTCTTCACTGAATTTAATTGACAAAAAAAAGATGCACATAGTTAGAAGAGAGAAAACTGAAATTCATGTTTACAGATGAGTACTTCCATTGTGTTCATAAGATGATCAGAATATCAATTAGATAAAATTAAAGACTCGTATCTTTTTAAATACCTAGTAGCAGACTCATTAAAAGACAAACCTAGGTATCAGTATACACTTTCAGCATTCAAATAAATGAGATAGACAGAAACAAATGAAATGCCTTCATCTATCCGTGGTCTTCGTTTAGCTCGCGTCTAGTTATGCACTTGTGTGGGAGGAGAAGGGTAAATGCCGAATACTGGCGAGGGCTTCACCTTAAGTTAGTGAGACGACTCATCTTGTTTTTTTAGATGAATATTGAGACAAACAATCACTCTCAGCTATGAACAAGTTATCACAGTCCACAAATATGGTGACACGTTCCAGAATTAAATCAAATATGATAATGAATAGTGATTCTTAATTTACCAGAAGTAAGAGTACAACTTAATTGACTGCCTTTTTTCTTATCACTCCTGTTCATTCATACAAAAAACACCTTGTCCAGTAAACATATTCCAAAAAGACCGACCAATTATGTACAGTAATTAACACCAAATTACACTAGAAGATGCTGCATTTTGAAAACCATATAAACGAGATAGCAAGTGAAAACGGAAAGAGGTTGTTTCACGTATGGAACTGTAATCTAAGCCTTCGACATAAGAACTAGTTCACAATAGAAGCAACCCCAGATACTGCATTAATAAGACTCAACAGAATAAGCCAAGTAAGTGAGCAGGTCAGGGAAAAGTGGAAATCCACTTAGCATTCTTGTGCACATTCGTCCCGTAGGCAATGACCCACACCTAATACGTAAGGGTTAGTGACACTTACAACCCGCCTCTCCAAACCTTCATAGGTTGAACCAAATGAGAACCCGTAACTGATCGGTTGGAAATCAAGTGTTTGTATCAATAAGCCTCAGGTCTAGATAAGCAGGTAGAAATTTACTGTCTTCAGATTCTTGTCTCATTCTCAGTGGTGAGCTTTCTTCATTACATTACTGGTGGGTCAACCCGCCTTAGGTGAAGGTATGACTTATTGGCTTAGACAGTAGATTCGATTTTTAGTCGTGGTCACGAGTCGGAACCGTGCTTCACCTACCGACGATTGAGCAGTCAGGCAGTACCATCAGACCTCACACAGCCAACACGAAATATTGTCTAGTACACTAACTTGGACATAGTAGTTGAGTCAAAAAGAAATAGCACATTCGGAACATAAATATATGTAACACGAAACTATTATTACTTACCTCTCTGTTGACATTTTGCTTCTCTTGTGTGGAAATGTTTCGGTCACCATTGAATATCGAGACCTCTGAGAAGATACCTCACTCGCACCCACATTGCACCCCGATCTTAGTTGACGACTGGTCGACGGAATAGAAGACGTCGATGGAACTGGCAATCCACGTTTTCTTCCAGCCGGAAGTTTCTCACTTGTGATAAGTGCCGGAGAACACACTAGTCGGGGTGGTAAAACGTTCACTTTTTTCAAGGCCACACTAGCACGAGCTTTCTTCACTTTACTCTCCTCCTACAACGGGTTGATAAAAAAGTGATCAGAAGTCACCTAATCTATACATTATTCTATGTAAGCTCAATACTAAAATCAAAAGCTGTTCGCCGAATTATGGAACTGATTTCGTCAGTCTCGGCTGTTAAACGCTAAATAGCAAAACGCACTAATCCTACAATAATCCAAAAAGCAAACAAGTTTGATTTTCAGAAATCTCATGAATTGAGTTTACGTGTGGAGCTACGGTTCATTTGTATAGGTAGCTGACTCAACTAGCGGGTTACGGGTTCGAGTACCGCCCCACCAATGGGTTTGGACAACCAGGTAGTAGGCATCATTAACTTGCGAACAATACAATAGGTGTGGCTCATTGCCCACAGCACAAACGTGCACAAGGTTGCTGAGTGCTTTTCGATCTTTCTCGATCGACAGATGCTACCTCGACGTAATGGTCGAGCTCAAAAATCACAATAACCTGACAAGGGGTGCCTGTTTCTTCCAGGTTCTATTGTACCAGAAAGGACAGCTGAAAACTGGTAAGATGAAAAACAGCTACAATTATAGAGGAAATCGTTGCGGCATGATGAAGCCCGAAGATGAAGCCGCGCTGTTGGTTGGACGCAGATGTGATAGTGGTTAGGTGTTTTCTGCGGACGACCAGCAGTGTCATGCTGGGTTCGAGTCTCAACAGGAATAACGTCAGTAACTGGAGTGCAAGCTGACGGCTCTCAAGTAAAACGAAGCGTGCGTCCTGAACTCCACTGCTAGTCCAAAAGATGAATACAATGCCCAGTTTCTTTACATGGCCAATACAACGAACTAATGACTTCACTGTTTTTTCTGATTACAATAAAATACTTTCATGCAGCTCTTGCTTTATCTAACATCGACCATCAACATCGGTTGGTGCTGGAGTAACGGGCGAAACTTATGCGCAGCACCTTAGACAACTCAACTTGTTCACATTAAGCTATCGAAGGAAAAGAGACGACCTAATAACGGTCTACAAGATCATCCACCAACTGGATCACTCCAACAGGCCAAGATTATCGGTTCAAAACTAATGGTCTCGCCACAAGTCCATCCACATGCCCCCCACCATAAGGCGAAGACGAGAATGAGATCTTTTTTCTCACACAGTGCCTTATGGGGACCCCCCCCCTGTCGAAAGAACTACCCACAGCTACATCAGTTGACTCCTTCAAACGACCGCTCGGTAAGGACGTGAGCGGAAACAGCTTAACACGAACATTCGCTGGTAGCGATTCAAGGTATGCTTATCCATCCCCGTTTCCAAACACTAGCATCTGCAATAAGATCCATCTCACCTTCATATTACAACCAGCTACACTTATTTTTCCATAATTATGGAAAAAGTACTTATACAAGTCTTTTGCACTTCTCTTTTCTCATTCTACATTGGCTCTAGCTCTTTTAAATAACGCTTGATACTTACTTGAGAATGCTTACAAAAACAGGAATTGCAAAAGACTGATTGATATTATCAGCAGCTTCGTTGCTCACCCAAACAAAACAAGCCACAATTTGTCAAAAAATACTTCCCAATAAATAATTACTGTCCACAAAGTTATAAGCAGGTAAGATATGGGCCTCTACGACCACCGAAGTATAACCGAATAAAAAGGACTGAGTCCAATGACCTTGAAGAGAAAGCTCAAAAACTATGTTTCTCCTACTCGCACTATAGATGTTGGTTGTTGTGGGTAACTGAACAGTTTGAACCTACTCCACGACAGTTTCAAATCATGCAGATTCTCAAAACCGAGTAACCCATTCGAACACATGCAAATGATTTCACTAATAACTTCCTAGTAGTTGCAGTACGCATAAGAGACTTTCCAAAAGCCCTCATGGTCGGATATATGTTCATGTCGTATACCTTATATAGCTTTTCTGCATTTGTAAAATACATCACGGTAGATTGTCATGGTGTTTGGAAACTATCAAGAAAGCTGATTCATACATAAAATAATGTAAGTAAAAGAATGCCAAGCAATTTTCTAATTTGTCAGTCAGTAGTGCTAGGACAAATCCACTGATAATTGGTGCTACCGGTTTATGCAGATGTTTGACCGTTTGATGAGTAACTAGGTGCCAGCACCTACGAACACTGAAGAACTCGGTATTCGATCGATGGAAAGTACATGCAGAATGTTTTAAGGTTTCCAATAGGTTATCAGAAGAACATGTAAGTTATCCAATGCTAAGTTAACAGTAGGTACACTGTAACTCGACCATAAGACTTCTAAAATAAGACCCGTCCCCAAGCATTTACAGATCATAAACTAAGTTCAAACATGCAAAACTACAGGAAAGGAAACAATAATTACCTGGAGAAACGGGACTGAACAAGACGGCATGGATTCATTTACAGGTGAAGATGTGCAAAACCCAAATCTTTTAGGTTGTAGTGGTGTATTCACCGAGAGCTTATTTTTTACAGGGAAAGCCGATTTACGAGACAAAATAGTGAGACAGGACATTCGACGTGAAGGTTGTAATCTAGAATAGTGAAGGTAAAAAAAAATGGGATAAGTAGTTTAACACAAATATAGCACTTTCAAAAGTAGGAAAAAAACTAACAGCATTAGTGAGCGTTTCGGTGTACTAATACCAAACACAGCTTCTCAGGACTTTCGACATAGCTGTATAGAAAGTCCTGAGAAGCTATATTTGGTAACGTTATATAAATAGTTGATGTTTCATTGTCACATGCGTTTCTGTAATACAAATCAAACAAAAGGAAACGGCCAACGGAAATAATTGTGAAATTCAGGGGACATACCTAAAATTTGGTAAGTCCGCTCAAAGTTAATGCTGGCTGGGTAAGGAGGCACGACATACCTTGCGTCATCAAAGGTTAGCGTATAACTTCTGCCTGTCCCATAAATGGACATCCCATGACTATCTGAAATGTAACCAGAAGACTCCCCACTGGTTACTTCTTCAGCAACGTGTGATTTGTCCAAAAAAGACTGAAAAGGATTCATGAGCTCGATGACAGATTGTCCCTGTCAAAAAAAAGACATACAAACCACTCGATGTTCAGAATCGATAGCCAAACAAACAAAACTAGATAAGAAATAGCAGACAAAGAATTATTTCAAAAACACTGCACAAGAGCCAACCAGATTCAAAAACACTTGAGCAGGGAAATGCCACAGAAAGCTGTCAAGGTTGGACTATCTAAATACAGCTTCATAGCGAGCGTTACCTTCATATGCGCCGTATAAATGTTGCGCACATGTTAACAACAAGAAATAATAGGCGTTATTTTGATGTCCAGCTTAATAGCTCAAGCACTAGGCATTCAGTTAATGAGTTCTCAGGATAAACTCGGTCTCATCTACGTTGAACGGGACAACCTGGCGAGATACGTGCAACACCCGGCTCTTGAATGCCATCACTTCATCATGTTAGTATGGGTCATGCTGTCGACAAAGCAGTCCTCAGGGCAACCGAACGTGCTGAGCTAAGCGTAAGACCTAGTCTCTAGTCGAGATGATTAATTACCGGTGAGTGGATTCGGAGTAAACTCCACCGAGTGAAGTCGGGAGTAGGCTACTGTGGTGTACATACAAACGATGCCACATGACCCATGAAGAAGAGGCACAGTGTACCAATGGGATAACGATCCACTGGTTAGAAGTTACGAACTATCAGTAGAACATGAGGTCAGTCTTAATGGTTTGTCCTTGTCAGCACGCCAAAATCATTAGGCCTATCCAAAGCTCTCAGTTTATACTGAAACAACCGGCAACGACAGTGATGCCCCGAAAAAAAGCGTAATATGAAATTAAGATTTGAAGACTACTGTGTGACCTGTAACTCACTAAGTACACTAAGATACTTACGAATACGATACTAAACTAGAAAGTAGCGGTCTACGCTGACGGCCAAAACGATGTGACGACCAGCTATTGATAGGGTTTTGTCTAGCCTTTAAATAGGTGGTGCGTCGTTGCAGGGGGGCGTGTGAGTTTAGCTATAGGAATCTGGAAGAGAAAAGTGCTACTCGATGACTCAGCAGGTACATACAATGTTCTTATAATGAATAATCAATGACCACTAACAAAAACGCTTAGACAGGGAACTGAAGAAATTATGATTCAATGCGCGCGCCTACGTCTCTACTGGGTGTTTACAAAAGGTTTAAACACCGATTGCTTTCCAGACTCCGTTAGTGAGGATAGCAGATGAATACGCTATTTTAATCTTTGTAATGTTGGCTACTGCAATGCTCTAGTTGTATTTTGAAGGTATTCATGAAAGAATAAGAAACGACATACATTGGAAAAGAATTCCAAAATTTTCCAATATCAAATATTTGTCAAGCAGCTACAGCGAAGTGACTGTTTTTCAACGGTCCAGTGTATGTGTTGATTCTGAGTTATTTCTGTCAGGCCTCACTTCTTCGGTGGGCAAAGAAATCTTTGATGCTTTACAACGTTAAGCTTTCAAGAATGTTTGTCTATGGTTTATTTATCTTTTTAGTCTGTGGACTGAGATAGGCTATCCTTCTGAAACTTGTCCATATTGGAACCCAAAGCTATCAAAGTATAAATCAGATGGCGTTCAAACAATAGGTGGTTATGTTCAAATAGTACAACTAGTTATTGGCAACGCTACAACCTCCAAGTCATATGGACGATATACATCTTGCTAAATGGGTAAAACCTAGCATTCTTCAGGTATGAATGTGAGTCCGTTATTGACTACCCCGTTTTGAAGTTAGGTTGGGTCTTCTCACAGAGAAAAGCTGTCTTCCCCTTATAGTTTCAAGTCATCGGTGAGGAGAACTTCAAAAGAAACCTGTTGGGACAAGTCGTTCATGTGTATTAGAAAATCAAGCGACCTCAGCGCTAAACCATGGGGAATTCCACTAAGACATTCTGTCCTCACAGGCATGGAGAAACTCTCCAGAACTCTAAATAAGTGATCTCGCAGACATGAGGACGACTAGTCAGTGAGCGGTGTTCTGGTTACGATGAATTTTAGTTATCACTAAGGCGGCCATGATTAACTCGATCAAACCCCCTGACTAAACCCTGACAAATCACACCACTTCGACCTCGGCGGTCAATAACACTAGTCCATCTATCTTTTGCAATGAGCGTTTTAGTGATACAGGAGTACTCTTCACTAAAACTCCATTGTTGGGGTGTAAATAAGCAATTCATCATGAGGTGGTCTCTCAGTTCAACATAGATTAACAATTTCATTGCCACGGAAGATATGGACAAGAGCACCACCGGCCTGTATTTCTTTGGGTTGCCTCGCTGATCTCCTTTCAGGATTGATGCTATGTGGCCCAACCTTCGAAATCGGGCCCTGCATTAGCCTCATGCATAAGCCAACGACCGAAAATTCTACTCCATTTATGGGATATTCGTAAACTCACAAGTACGCGGTCGATGTTAAATAGCTCTCCAAATTCTGATCGGTAAGGAATTCAGTTGCCTCAGTGTCGTTAGTGGTTAGCCCACTGGGCCCTAGCAATTCAGTCTCAATATAGCCTGCTGAGAGGGTGCAGCGCAGATGACATCTCGGGTTAGAAACAAACGTGTTTGTAGGCCTAGTTTGATATGTTTATCAATCGGCTCTCAACACCTCCGTGTATGTGATTCTTGTCTGTTCGAATAGCCTGCATGTGCATTTGGTCCCATTAATCTGTGTTCGGGTAAGTGCTGAGTTTTTAGTTTGAGCAGTTTGAGAGTATAGTTCCCTACTATCTTGGGGAACATGGAGCACCTCTGAGTCGAAAGTGGAACAGAACGGCTGATGGTGTGCATGATTTTGTCAAGTATGAATTTCCAATTAGTTTTCACATGTTGCCATGAATGGTCGACTTCCCAAACTGTCTGTTCCAGATTTGTCCAAACGTCTTCAGTGTTCTGTCGTTTGGATTTCCAGCAACAGTCCTTGAAAGGTTCGGTTAGTTTGATTCCGCAGACTTGCTGGAAGTCGATATCAACGTGATTACTCCTGCTCGAAGGAAAAAGGAGTGCCAGGTTATCAGTCAAGAATTCCACATTTTTGAAGATGCAATTTAAGTGGGGTGGGGCTCGAGTTCCCCTCCACCGCACTGCTGACCTCACATTTTCCTCAAGCTCCACCTCTTTAACCGGGTTAAAGAATCCGGCTTCAATGGAATCATGACTTTTGTTAAACTCAAGAGCCGCAAAGTTAACCTTCGGCGAGTTAGTTTCTTGTAATCACTGTTTGTGTCCCAGATTAACAAAGCAACTGACTGCCTCTGGTATTCGGTCATCATGCTGTGCTATAGCGGATGGCCTCCTATGTATGACCACCACCAAGCACTTTGCTGCCAAGTCATTCATGAAAGCAATAAACAATAGAGAGCTGACGATTGGACCCTAGGGCACCCAACTCGGCATCATTTCGACCAAAAGAAGAGTGCTATGACTGATTGTAACCGGGTGTTAGTGTGATTCATAAGCCAACTTGCCGCGTAGCCAAATAAGCTGAAGTTTCTCAAGCAGGATATCATGCTTAACGCCGTCAAGTGCTTTGGAAAAGCCAGGAAACCTAATATGAATGGGCTGTACATGTTCAGCAGCGGGTTCAGCTATCCTAGGATGTCAGCAAGCTTGTGTTACACAATCTTAGGCGTAAAAACCTGTGTTAACAGTTAGCCATGTTTGGGTTCCAAAGTAAATAATCACGGAATGGGTCGTTGGCTGGTCTTTCCCTTACTTTGAAAGTGAAGCAACCAAGCAGACTTGGCGTCAGTCAAAAGAAAATAGTTTCTACATGTTGGGATGACGGCCGCTTGTTTGCAGTCAGAGGACAATTTACCTTCCCAGAATATGTGAAGACGTTTGTCAGTGGAAAAGTTGGAACGCTGACACATTCTTTGAATAATCTCGGGTGAATGCCATCAACTCCTGAGGATTTATAAGAATTTAGGCCCACTGCCACACTTGAAGTCACGAAATCTGGCTCTGAAATGCACTGAACTGGAAGACATGAACAAACTGCGTAACGATACATAAACCTAAGTAGTTTCTTCCGACATCAATCTACAGAAGTGCGTGAACTGACTCACGGTTTGATCAGCGTTCATTTTCAGGGAATTTCCTAGACATGTGGATGCATATACATACAAATATGTGTACGTATCAGTGTTTACGATGGATAATCGAATGAGTGACCAAAAGCGTGACTTCACAATGCACATTTTTATGGATTTGTCGTTATCATTATATACAGCGTATCATCAGAATGATCAACTGCGGTCCTCAGATGCAAGACTTCGTGAGTACCCTTGACGTGCACGAATGGTCATGGTAAAGTGGTATGTAGAGTAAGTGGTACAATACAGTTGGCTTCTGGTGTGAAGTGGCATGACCCCTTTGATCGATTGTAGTGCTTGTCCTTTGAGTCGTAACTCGGAAAGAGATTTATATGGTGTGGTGGCAGCAGCCATAACACTTGTTGGCACCCGGAGTTAATAGCCATCAACCTGGGTGATATTATCGTCGTCAAACGTGAAGGACGTGGCAGTCTGCAGACCACCGCTGCCACCACCTCATTTAACCGTATTCTCACAGATAACCACCACCGTCGTCGAACGCCGTGAGGACACTTCTCTATTACTGTGCCGGTTGTTGGTTCCGGTATGCCGTGGACAACCATAATCGTTGGTCTCAACGTGTGGGGTACCTCATGAGCTACTTTTTCCCGCTGACCACGGCCGGTTGATGACCGTGTGTGTGTCAGCAGCAAGAATCTTTCCACCTCCTTAGCCGAGCTCAGGGTCACTCTCATCGGTGGGGGCTTTCCCTGAGGTGAGTAGTTGCCTTTGTAAGGCCGGAACAGTTTTGCTTCCAAGCTGCCCAGTCCTAGCATGGCGCACACCGTTTGCCATCGCTGTTTGGCGGAAGACTCTCTGTACCCAAGAAGCTTATCATAGAACTCGGGGACACTAAATATGATGATGGAATTCGATCTGTCACTAACGTCTCTGTTGTCGTGTACTGTGGGTGGGTTCTTATGGGAAGGGTGGGCCTTCTTTTCCACTGTGACCCATCTTCCCGATGTACAGTGGGGGCAGCCGTTGAAGTGACCTCAGGGTTAGGGACTAACGCGGTTGGTCGCGTGCCCGGCCTTTTTTAGCCATTCACAGGTGTGACTGTCCGAGGAACGGTGCTGACACTCTCGTCGCTTGGACTCTTGGTCCGGTACATCCTTGTCACAATGACTGTGTGCCCACTTATCGCAGGTGTTCCACTAAAAGGTGGCGTACCTCTTGGCTACAGTGGGATCACACGTGTGATAGTCATCATTCTGACAAGAAGGTTTGGTCAAAGACTATCCTTCTCTTCTCTTCCGTCTCTCAGTGGTAGCCGTCACAGGTAGATTAGGGTTTGGGCTGGTTGTGCCAGAAAGACATGCTTTTCGACGAACTAAGGTGCAATGGTTCAGACGGACAGAAATTTGGCTCTTCCCAGGGATTGGCAGTCTTGACTATTCTCCTGCGGTCGACCCGTGATCTTTTGCAGTGACATTAACGTCTTGCCCCCGGCCCCAGTTACTACTAAGGATGGGGAGGTTAGTGACTGAGGTGGGGCTTTACCTGAGGTGCTCCTGACACCAGCTTTGGCCAGGACTCTATTTTTGCTCATATCCACCAGAGGTTAGGGAAAAATATAAGGGAGTGAGACACAGATGGTTGTATCCAGTATAATGCAGAAAACCAATGATAGCTAAGGGAAGTTGTCAACCTTACATAGGATTGCCCAATTGTACGACAGCTACAGGGAAAAAAGTAGGACTGAAAACGATCAATACTTTAACACAATGTATGTGCCGAAAAGTGCTATTAACTTGTTCATTTCATAACTTATGGAATGAATCTCTGGATGTTTTGATCGAATTTAATGACCTCCTGCCTGTACCACACAGGAACCGTAAGATCTCGTAGATTTCTCAACCAATACAATGTGATGACGCCTGTAAAGTTGCTTCCCACATGTAAAACTACTAATACGAGAATAAAGGCACACTTACGTGCATAAATGGTCTTGGCAAGGCGGTACGTGGAGTAAGTGGTACAATACAGTTGGCTTCTGGTGTAAGGTAGGATGACCCCGTTGATCGATT